ACACTCATTGCCTAAAGCTGAGATTCACTGACACTTCAATGGCAGACAAGGCCCTGGAATCTGGAATCTTGGGGTTCAACATGTCAGTACTCCCTAAACAACTAGAAAGGGAGAAATATGTTAATATTCTCACCTGCTTTATCTGCTATGCACATGAATCACATGCAAGAAAAGACTGTCCTCAAAAGGAACTTAAAATATGCTCTGAATGTGCAGAAGAAGGCCATACCTTCCGGGACTGCAAGAATCAATCCAAAGCTTGTATAAACTGTAAAAATCAGAAGGAACCTGGATATAAGACCCACAGAACCCTAGCAATGGCCTGTCCATACAAGAAGAAAATAATAGGCCTAAATGAAAAAGTAGCAAAGGAAAAACAACAACAAGAACAGAAGGAGAATATAACATATGCTGCTATTGCAAAGAAAGTAGTTGAAGAAACAACACAACCACAGAATACCACCAAAATTGTACGGAGCGAAATACGACACTACAAAGTGCTCATCTGCCTATTATACTTTCACATAATGAATATAGGGAACCCAGGCACGTTCGAAATAGAAATGAACAAAATGCTTGGAAGAAACAACCTCCCAACAATGAGTTTCCCAGCCAACCCAGCTTCCGGATCTGTGCTACAAGCGTCCAGTTTAACCAACCCAGATGCACCACAGGAGACAGTCAACGCAGAAGAAAAAGGAGCAACGGAGCAAACACCAGCCGCAACAGTACACGAAACAAACGAAGCTGACAAGGCAAAGTCACAAAGGATTGAAACATCCACCCAAAGTACAGTAGAGAGGCAGGACCTTCAAAATAACATCCAAAGAGAGACAGGTGCCGTCAGGAAAAAAGTCTCAACAGCAACCATGGATACCCAGGGCGAGGAAACGCTACTGACTTTAGAATGTGCAGATGACTGTGAACTACAGCTTCACTGGTGTGACAAAATATTTATCCCTAATGAATGCAAAACGATGCCAGACATTATACAAGCCATAACGAAACAAGAACTAAAATGGACCTACTCTAACGACAAATACTCTGAAGCACTAGTAGAAGTTTACCTGATAAACCAAAGGATTAAAATAAGGAGACACAACTTCAAAAAAGAAGAACAATGGAAATTCCAAAGAATCCGTAACGGACTGGTTCCGGACAAGAGATCGCCATCCGAGCAACAAACAAGAAACAAAAAATCAAAACACAATGAATAAAGAAAAACCCAGAACACTTACCATCATACAACACAACGTCCGCAACTGGGAAACAAACAAAAACAACCTTGCAAACACATACCTCAGCATTGATCCGGACATAATTTTAATAAATAGTCACGGCAATTCAAATTCCAAGAAAATAAAAATATTTGGATATACAACCTACCAAAGAAATAAAACAGAAGAATTAAATGATGGCGTGGCCATTGCTGTAAAACACAGACTCTAACATCAAATCATCGACGAATTCCAGGATGAATTCCTGGGAATCAAAATAACTACCACATTAGGAGAAATAGCAATAGCCACAGCATATTTACCGCCAAGACGGAACTACCTGCCGGCCCCAGACTTGATAAAACTATTGAACTACAACTGCCCAACATATATAATAGGAGATCTGAACCCAAGACATCCAATATTCGGCCACGGAAACAGAAACAGGGTGGGCACTGCACTGCATACCATAATGAACACAGGGAAGTTGATCCACCTAGGACCACACTTCACCACATTTATTGGCATCAACAAAACAACAACCCCAGACAAAGTCTTCACCAATAACAAGGCATTCCTGAATTACCATATAAAACAAGGACCACTAACTACCAGTGACCACATCCCAATGATAATAAAACTATCTACAAGCCCAATCCAAGTACCAACAACCCCACGTTTCCAAATGCAAAAAGCAGACTGGGAAGGCTACAGGAAGCAACTAGAACAAGTTAAGATCCCAGATCTCCAAGGCAAAACACTAGAAGATATTGACAACGAAACAGCTACCCTTATACGTAACATCAAAAAGGCAACAGAGAACAACATACCAATCACAACATATCGAACGCTACCACACATCAGGACATCCCATGAATTGCGAATGCTCCAAGTACAATACAATAACATAATGATGTACATACAAAATTATCCACCAACAACAGAGCTTATTAGAAACTTAAGGCAAATACAACAAAAGTTAAGAGATGAAAGCCTGATAGCACACCAACAGATATGGAACGAACTAATAAACAACCTGGATACCACAAGAAATGACAAGAACTTGTGGCAGAACGTAAACAAAATGCTAGGAAACGACAAGCCTCAACAAAAATATATAAAGGACCAAAACGGGAAAAAACTCTTTGAAGAAAAAGAGATAGAATCCGCATACAGGAAAGAATGGAAAAAAGTATTTCAAATATCAGAAGAAGAAAATGAGGAATTTGATGAGGAACACGAAAATCATATCCGCAGAGAAATGGCTGAAATGATACATAGGATAACCCCATACCATGTGGTGGACAAAACCAGGCTCAACCCGATAGAACCAATTACAGAAGGAGAACTGCTACACCACATCAGGCACACTAAAGAAAAAGCACCAAGATTTACAAAAATCACAAGAAATATGATCCTATACCTACCCAACAACTGCACACAAGGCATCCTTGAAATATTTAACTCAGCTTTAGCAAGTGGATACTTCATTGATGCATTTAAAAACGCAAAACTCATATTCATACCGAAACCAGCCAAAGACCACACCCAAGTAATTAACTACAGACCGATTTCCCTACTCGAAGTTATAGGAAAACTATTTGAAAAGGCAATAAACAAGAGAATCAGAAAACACAGAAGTGAAGACGGACTACTAAACCCCAGACAACATGGATTCACTGAAAAAAAGGGAACACATACTGCACTAGCCATAATCACGGAAACGTTAACCAACAAGAAAGCAGAAAGAAACCAAGTCAACATTGTACTAAGAGACGTTAAGAAAGCATTCGATAAAGTATGTCACCTAGGATTAAAATTTAAACTGCTTCAATTAAATCTCCCAGAACCAATAGAAAAAATCGCCTGTGACTTCCTAGACGATCGCACGGCACAAATACAAATTGGCAGCTATATAGGACCACCCATAGAACTGAAAAGTGGAGTACCCCAAGGCAGTGTCCTTTCACCCACGCTGTACAATATCTACACAGCAGACCTACCAGAACCAGCTCCCTACAGTGAATACATAAGTTTTGCAGACGATATCACACAAATCATCACATACCCTGGCAAATCAACAGCAATAATGGCACAACATACTGTCAACGCAATAGAGAACATCAACCGGTACGAAAAAAGTGGAAGATACAAACGAACACCAACAAGTTCAAAATAATCCCAATCGTTAAAAGGAAAAAAGACCCCATTATAGTAGACAACAAAGTAATTCCATATGCCATGGAAGGCACTGTCCTAGGGCTGAAGATAACAACAAAAGGCTACAAAACATTCATCACCGAAAAACTTGCAAAAACCAGAAACATGGTAATTAAATTAAAACGCTTCAGAAGCCTGTCAGCAAAAAACAAGTTAAAGTTATATAGAGCCTTTGTCCAATCCCGACTAGTATATCCGCCAATTCCCCTACATGCAATAAAACAAACAAACATAAAGAAACTGCAGACAATTCAAAACTTAGCCCTAAGGGATGTATATAACATCAGATATCCTGACATAGTCACCAACCGTCAACTACACCAACGAGCGCAAATAGAACCCCTAAACGTTTACCTACACGAACACTCAAAAAGAATATGGACAAAGTTAGAAGAAATAGAGCCAGGACCAATCAAAGAATGGATGGAAGAGACAGAAGACGGAAGAAGAGAACACTCGTGGTTCCCTAAAAGTAAAAGAAGAGCCCTAGAACCCACACCAACTCCACTCTACTAAAAGATGCAAAGTTACCCCAGTGACAACCTTGGCAGCCCAACCACTTACAACATTAGATCATAAAAAGATAGGATGTTCTTGGCAGAAACACAAGTACCTGCCCTAGACTCCTCACCATTGGCTAGGACATAAGACCCGAAAATGTAAGGCATAAAATTGCAATAGTTGCTAAACATACAAACACCTGACATAAATATAACACCTAAGGCGAAAATTAGCTGAAACACAAACATGAGATAACAGAAGCACTTGGGTTGAGCCCCAAGACCTAGCATTCTACTACTATTTTCCAATTTCCTCGCTTTTCTTCTGCACTATCCACCAACCCCAAGTCCCTCCAAATTCCAACATTATTCTTCAAGTCCAGTTCCCGTACCACCAATCTACGCACCTGCATTAAGATTTCTTCATACTTTACTTCATCCATCGATCGATCGGGGAAAACATTCTACATTCAGCGACTGGACCAGCAAGACCTCTCAACAGCTCCTCACCAACCCACTCCCTCAGAAAGCTCCTCGCCCAACAGGAACTCTGAGCAAGCTTCTCCTCACCTAGTAACTCCTGAGTGTTAGATATATTACATGTACGTACGTTGTGAGCACATATAAAGAGAATCTGACAACCTGCCACAACAGTACGCTACAAGTCTTAATGTTTGCACTTACGGAACTGTAATCAATTTGCTCACCCTTATTAAAAGTATCTTATGATTAATAATATTAAATGTTTTAATCATATTTGAGGAATTATCAATATTGTTACACCTTGTAAAAGATTGCCAACACGGTTTTATGCCGGGGCGCTCTTGCTTAACACAATTGCTCAAGGTATTGGATGTTTGGACCCATATTCTGGAACGGGGTGGTAATATCGACAATATTTACCCAAATTTTGCCAAGGCTTTCGACAGTGTACCCCACGAAAGGCTGAAAATCAAACTGGAAGGGTACGGAATTCGGGGAAATGTCCTAGCGTGGATAGAAGACTTTCTACATGACCGCAAGCAGTGTGTAGTGATTAATGGCACGAAATCGTCATCTGTACCTGTAACAAGTGGGGTACCACAGGGCAGTGTATTGGGCCCGCTGTTGTTTGTTTGTTTCATAAATGACATGCCTGACGTTGTACACTCCTCCATACAAATGTTTGCCGATGACGCCAAGTTATTTCGGGAAATTAAGAACCAAGCGGACTGTGAAGAGCTGCGGAAGGACCTCTGTGGGCTCCAGGAATGGCCGAAGAAATAGATGCTGAGATTCAATGTCACGAAGTGTAAGAGGATGCACCTGGGGCGTACCAACGGTAAGGAGGCGTATCATATGTCCCAACGGGATGAAGAAACTGCACTAGTTGAGACTGTGTGTGAGAAGGACCTAGGTGTGTATGTTGACAATGAGTTGAAGTTCTCGGGCCATTGTGAGAAGAAGGTAAATCAGGCAAATAAATTATTGGGTCTTAAAAGAAGGTCGTTCAGATATCTAGACGGTCCGTCCCTCGTGACGATCTTCAGGAGTGAAGTGCTTCCCCATCTGGAGTACTGTCACCCCATCTGGTCCCCGAGATATGCTAGGGACTGTCAGTTGGTTGAAAATGTTCAAAGGAGGGCCACCAGACTGGTGCCTGCACTTCGGCACCTCAGCTACCCTGAGAGATTGGAGAGCCTGAACTTACCTAGCTTATACTACAGACGGGCAAGGGGGGACCTAGTTGAAGTGTATAAGCATCTCAGGGGGCACTACTCAGTTGAGTGTCCTTACTTGGAGCTGGCGGTCGCTCGCCCCACAAGGGGTCACAGCTCAAGATTGAAGAAGCCGCAAGTCCAGAAAACCGTGAGGGCAAACTTTTTCGGAGTGAGGGTTGTAAACTCTTGGAACAATCTACCAGAGAGTGTTGTGACGGCACCGAGTGTGAGCTCTTTCAAGACAAGACTTGACCAACACTAAAGCGGGTTCAGGTACATTCAGGAGCCGGTGCATGCCCAGTATTTGTCAACAGTGCGTGACAGAGACGTGACCGATCGCCCGGGCGGCTAGCGAGCCGATATTTTGGTGAAGAAGATAAATGAAAAGAGACGTGACCGATCGCCCAAGCGGCTAACAAGCCGATCAGTGGCGAAGAGGATAAAAGTAAAAGTAAAGTCACCAACGGCTAATGAAATCGGACAGCAGCCACTTAAAAATGGGAGGAACCAAAACTGGTTTCAACAAGGCGCAATTCTTTTCTATTTTTTCACGCCATACTCTTTGTTTTAGGTCCTAGCCAATATACTACCGTATATAGAATTAATTTTATTATTATATCACAGATTTTTATTGCCTTACATGCCCCGAACTCTTCAATATTAATCAAAATATTCTCTATAAGCGGCCATGGTCTGCGCATTTTCAGTGGGAGAAATCGCCGATTAGTTGTTACTTGTTAGCTATTTGGGCCGCTTGGGCACTGCACAAGGCTAACGCCTGATCGAGGTGTTAACTTTTCCCTCTGAATGTGTCACGAGCACAAGTCAAAAGCAGCATCTATGCCTACAGAACAGTTAACGCGTTAGCTAATCCGTGCATCGAAAATGCCTTACAATAAACGTCTTTACTATTCTACATCCTCCCAAAGAAAACAAAATAAATCAGCCTCGAAAAACGAAGGACGAAGATAAATAATTGCCGAGCTTATACTACAGACGGGCAAGGGACGACATAATTGAGAGGTATAAACATCTCAAAGGGCACTACTCAGTCGAGTGTCCTTACCTGGAGTTGGCGGACGCTCGTCCCACAAGGAGTCACAGCTCAAGGTTGAAGAAGCCACAAGCCCAAAAAACTGTGAGGGATAACTTTTTCGGAGTGAGAGTTGTGAACTCTTGGAATCTGCCAGAGAATATTATATTGGCACCGAGTGTGAGCTCTTTCAAGATCAGGCTTGACGAGCACTGGGGCAGGTTCAGATACATTCAGGAGCCAGTTCATGCTCAGTACTTGCCAACATTGCGCAACAGAGACATGACCAATAGCCCAGGCGGCTAACGAGCCGATCAGTGCATGGTGAAGAGGATAAAAGTAAAATAAAGTCACTGTACGTTGATCTTGCTTCAAAGCACTGAAGGTATGGAAGTCAAGCTTTCCTTTTTAGTACCTATACGTAACTAAATATTACTTGATCGTGGTACTATGGGAGGTAATGTAGAAGACCATTACCACCAATTTATTTATTATATTGGCACTAAACTCAATTGTGGCACAAAAGTAAAAAATTTCCTTTAACTATCAACTAACTCTCATTGTTCCATTGACAAATTTCTACAATAACTTCCAGAAATGCAGTCTTCAGTATGTTAAACTAAAATGGTCCATCTTCAATATATAAGCAATACATTTACCTGAAGTATAAATTAAACCACTTGATTAAATCATAAATAAAACCGACCACACTCCTGTCGTGGGTGTGTATGGGCAAAGCCGGTTGACTAAACATGGTGCAGCCAACATTATACTCAATTATATTACAACAAAAATCTTCAAATTTAGTAACAACACATTTATTTATATCTAAGAATAATAGATTACTTTTTAAATTAATAAAATGTTTAACTCAAAAAAACATACTTGGAAAAATATGGACGAATTTCTTAACACAAAAACATAAGAATGGAGGAAACTGCAGCGGGCCTATTGGATCATACTACATGACCGCAAGCAGTGTGTGGTGATTAATGGCACGATATCATCATCCGTACCTGTCACAAGCGGGATATTCTTTCTTTTTTTATCCTCTTCACCACTGATCGGCTCGCTAGCCGCCCGGGCGATCGGTCACGTCTCTGTCACGCACTGTTGACAAGTACTGGGCATGCACCGGCTCCTGAATGTACCTGAACCCGCTCCAGTGTTGGTCAATTATTGTCTTGAATGAGCTCACACTCGGTGCCGTCACAACACTTTCTGGTAGATTGTTCCAAGAGTTTACAACCCTCACTCCGAAAAAGTTTGCCCTCACAGTTTTCTGGACTTGCGGCTTCTTCAATCTTGAGCTGTGACCCCTTGTGGGGCGAGCGTCCGCCAGCTCCAAGTATGGACACTCGACTGAGTAGTGCCCCCTGAGATGCTTATACACCTCAACTAGGTCCCCCCTTGCCCGTCTGTAGTATAAGCTAGGCAAGTTCAGGCTCTCCAATCTCTCAGGGTAGCTGAGGTGCCGAAGTGCAGGCACCAGTCTGGTGGCCCTCCTTTGGACATTTTCAACCAACTGACAGTCCCTAGCATATCTCGGGGACCAGACGGGGTGACAGTACTCCAGATGGGGAAGCACTTCACTCTTACTTTTATCCTCTTCGCCACTGATCGGCTTGTTAGCCGCTTGGGCGATCGGTCACGACTCTTTTCCTTTATATTCTTCACCAAAAGGTCGGCTCGCTAGCCGCCCGGGCGATCGGTCACGTCTCTGTCACGCACTGTTGGCAAATACTGGGCATGCACCGGCTCCTGAATGTACCTGAACCCGCTCCAGTGTTGGTCAAGTCTTCTCTTGAAAGAGCTCACACTCGGTGCCGTCACAACACTTTCTGGTAGATTGTTCCAAGAGTTTACAACCCTCACTCCGAAAAAGTTTGCCCTCACGGTTTTCCGGACTTGCGGCTTCTTCAATCTTGAGCTATGACCCCTTGTGGGGCGAGCGTCCGCCAGCTCCAAGTAAGGACACTCAACTGAGTAGTGCCCCCTGAGATGCTTATAAACCTCAACTAGGTCCCCCCTTGCCCGTCTGTAGTATAAGCTAGGCAAGTTCAGGCGCTCCAATCTCGCAGGGTAGCTGAGATGCCGAAGTGCAGGCACCAGCTTGGTGGCCCTCCTTTGAACATTTTCAACCAACTGACAGTCCCTAGCATATCTCGGGGACCAGATGGGGTGACAGTACTCCAGATGGGGAAGCACTTCACTCCTGAAGATCGTCACGAGGGACGGACCGTCTAGATATCTGAACGACCTTCTTATAAGACCCAATAATTTATTTGCCTGATTTACCTTCTTCTCACAATGGCCCGAGAACTTCAGCTCATTGTCAACATACACACCTAGGTCCTTCTCACACACAGTCTCAACTAGTACATTTTCTTCATCCCGTTGGGACATATGGTACGCCTCCTTACCGTTGGTACGCCCCAGGTGCATCCTCTTACACTTCGTGACATTGAATCTCAGCAGCCATTCCTTCGACCATTCCTGGAGCCCACAGAGGTCCTTCTGCAGCTCTTCACAGTCCGCTTGGTTCTTAATTTCCCGAAATAACTTGGCGTCATCGGCAAACATTTGTATGGAGGAGTGTACAACGTCAGGCATATCATTTATGAAACAAACAAACAACAGCGGGCCCAATACACTACCCTGCGGTACCCCACTTGTTACAGGTACAGATGACGATTTCGTGCCATTAATCACCACACATTGCTTGCGGTCATGTAGAAAGTCTTCTATCCACGCTAGGACATTTCCCCGAATTCCGTACCCTTCCAGTTTGATTTTCAGCCTTTCGTGGGGTACACTGTCGAAAGCCTTGGCAAAATCTAGGTAAATATTGTCGATATTACCACCCCGTTCTAGAATATGGGTCCAAATATCCAATACCTTGAGCAATTGTGTCAAGCAAGAGCGCCCCGGCATAAAACCGTGTTGGCAATCTTTTACAAGGTTGTTTCGTAGTAGATGTTCCATCGCTGCATCTCTGATAATACTCTCAAGTACTTTACATATTATGCTGGTCAGGCTCACCGGTCTATAGTTGTTCGTGGAGTGCCTATCGCCCTTCTTGAAGATAGGACTCACATAAGCCACTTTCCATTCACTGGGGACCATTTGTTCATCCAGGCATTTACAAAACAGAATCTTCAGGGGCTCTGCAAGCTCGTTGCACAGCTCCCTTAGCACTCTAGGATGCACTATGTCAGGTCCAGGACTCTTGAAGATCGTTACGAGGGACGGACCGTCTAGATATCTGAACGACCTTCTTTTAAGACCCAATAATTTATTTGCCTGATTTACCTTCTTCTCGCAATGGCCCGAGAACTTCAGCTCATTGTCAACATACACACCTATGTAGGTCCTTCTCACATTCAGTCTCAACTAGTGCAGTTTCTTCATCCCGATGGGACATATGGTACGCCTCCTTACCGTTAGTACGCCCCAGGTGCATCCTCTTACACTTCGTGACACTGAATCTCAGCAGCCATTTCTTCGACCATTCCTGGAGCTCACAGAGGTCCTTCTGCAGCTCTTCACAGTCCGCTTGGTTCTTAATTTCCCGAAATTACTTGACGTCATCGGCAAACATTTGTATGGAGGAGGATAAAAGAAAATGAAAAGTAATCAGAGACGTGACCGATCGCCGAAGCGGCTAACGAGCCGATCAGTGGCGAAGAGGATAAAGTAAGTAAAAGAAAAGTTTACAACCCTCACTCCGAAAAGTTATCCCTCAGTTTTCTGGGGGCTTGCGGCGTGAGATGAAAACGCCTTAGTTATCATCTGCTTCGTCTTTTAATAATAAATTTAAGATGTGAACCTTATAATTATTAAGATTTTTACAACTACAAGAAAATATCACATATATTAACAACAAATAAAATAGTTTACGTGATAACAGAGTTGCTAATTTGATTGTTTTGGTGATCAGCTGTGAGTGACCAAGATGGCGTCGAGGTTAGCGCGATCTACTGTCCGGCAGGTTAAACCTCTCCTGTCTATCGACCAAGGGGAGGCTAGGAAGCGAGTGCTCAACCTATATAAGGCTTGGTATCGCCAGATCCCTTATATTGGTAAGAAAGCTTTGTATATATGATGTTAATGAACCTTTTCTTCACTGACTGATATGTATGTATATATATATTAAATAATTATCACATGTACCATAAAACAAAGTAATATGTGTATGAACAACAATTACAAGTAAACACTCGCTATTTAGTACATATTACTCCGAGGGTAACACAAAGACGCTAGATCTTATTTCCATTGTGGTCATCTTGAGCTATACTCTCCAACCTGGGATGAAGCCTCGTTTAAAACAACTGGGTGTTTTATTACAGGTATCTTTCACATAATGATGAGGTTGCGTTCCTCAAAAACCTAAAGTTAAGCAGAATTGTCGCCAAATAGCAAAGGACAGTAAAAGTTTAGGTTTATATATAGGACTAACCTGCCAGGGCTGCATAGCGCCGATGAGGCCGTATCATCTCACGTCCAGAATATACCTCAAATATAACCATATCTTTCTGTTTAATATACCGGGGAAGTTAGGTAAGGTTAGTTCGTTCGTTCCTTTGGTATGAGAATAGGTTAGGTTAGGTTGGTTGGTTCCTATGGTATGAGGGGGTCTGCCCATATATTTACCACTGCTCTACCTCTTTCGTAACCCTGTTCATTCCCATCAATATATACACGAAAATAACTATTGCTTGGGATATAAAATAATTAAAAACACCAAGACAATTTATAAAGACGAAAATAAAATATAAAAACATTGTTAATATGCCTGCAATCATCTCACTGCTCAGTGGATTATGCGCTGGTTCCAAATCACCTTAATTTGTTCTGTATTTTGTTTATTTACCAATGTTTTAAACGTTTTCTTTATTAAATAATTAATATTCATGTATAATAATGACACAATACATCTCGAGTCGTCTGTATACATGTGCAATTTCTATTCGAGTAAAATAATAACTTACAATTTGTCACTGATACTAGCAACTGTTAGTGGTGACAAAATGGATTTGATATTGGCGATGAAATGGGGTTTTGGTGACGAACCGGGTTGGTGGCGACATGGGGTGCATCCGGTATGAGAATAGGTTATTTTTGGTGTGTTTTACTCAAATCTGACTTCCATTTTTGTGCAAATTAGCAATAAATGCTAATTTGTAGAAAAAATTAAGGTCAGATTTGAGTACAACACCAAAAATAAACTATTCTTATACCAAAGGAACCAACCTAACCTACTGTAACTAAGAAAAGAACAGAAAAAAGTGATTAACCCAAAATATAAATGTCAGAATCATTTAAAATGGCAAGAAAACTAGGGAAAATATATTTTTCATGTTAAAAAAGGTGATGGGTGGTTAACAAAAAATGACCAGGTTAAGTTAGTCAGAAAGGCCTTCTTAGTAACTATCATTGTATAGTCTGCCCACCATGCATGCACATTAGGCTGCTGTGCCATAGACGTCATTGTTTGTATACGGTTGCCGTATCTGTACCCTGTGCCTACAGTTTAAGACTTAGTTCTGTTTTTTGGGGGGCTATTCTAGTTAAAATAATCTTAAAGGAAACTTGTTTCTTTCTTCATAAATACACGAAAAAGGTTGGAGAAATTCCCTAAATATGCAAATATAATATGATAAGCATATCCCCCCTTTACTTTATTAATATTCTTTCATCAGTGGTGGACTATGACCTCCCAAAGTCCAAGGAACAGTGTCGACAGAAGTTAAGAGAGGAATTTGAAAAACATCGTCACGTGCAAGACATACGCACCGTTGATATGCTCGTTATTAAGGTGAGGAAGTAGAAAAATATGTGAGTATTTGCTAGTACTGTACACAGTGTTTGCGTAGAAATAGAATATACAGGCAGTCCACACTATATACGCACTTGTATGTATTTTGTACGTATGTAAACTTTAGAAATTAGTGAACACTTTTCTTTCTATGCAACATATTTTGGCTGATGTGCATTGTAACCCTCTGTTATTCTGGTAACTTTTGGACAGACAGTTGTTCCAATAACACCATTAATTTGGCGATAAATGTTGAAAATAAAGTTAATTAGTGTCCTCTTCCTTGGGTATTTTGGGATTGAAATATTATATTATACTAAACTTTCCTTTTAATCCTCCAGGGCCAAATGGAACTAAAAGAAACAGTTGAAATCTGGAAGCAGAAGCATGGCCTGATGGCTTATTGGCGGGACTCTGTAGAACCACGGCCCAAAGATTTCCTTAGCAAGTTCTTGGACGGTCACGAGTGATAGTTTAAGTAGCTGTTAGTTCAGATTTTGTTTATATGTCATATTTAAAAATCCTTTTGTTAAATCTATTAAGCAAATCATCATTTTACCAGAATTGTAATTTGCATTTTTTTTATTTGTTCAAATATCAGATTCAAGAGAGATTGTTAATCCATTAAAGTAGTAATTGAAAATTTGGTTATTAAAAATTTTTGTAGGGTATCAAATACAGTATATTTATGTTAGATGTATATACTTCCTGTGTAAATGTTTTTATTAAAAACTGGTAAAAAATGTTATGTATGAAAAATATGACCTTACTGTACTGTTACCAAACAGTTCTACATTCTTGGTTGGGCTCGGTTTACAAGGGATGGGCTTCTCTACATCATCATTATCATTGTCCAAAAATTTACAGTGTTCTAGCTGTATCAACTGATTGATTACCACACTACATTCATTGGAGATGGTTCAACTTCATCCCAGGACACTGCAATGTTATTAAAAGCAATCTTGAGGTTTAAGGTACACCAAAAGTCTCGGATGAATGGCGCATTCTCTCCATTTGATTTGGTGATCAACTGTGAGACTCCTTTTAAACCCTCTTGTGGTCAAAAGTTGCATCACGAAGCGCTCTCACAATAAGAGCGCCCCTCCTGTAAGCAGAAATGCTGGAATAGTGGACCGGGCCTATCAACCACCTAAGTTCCTCCCACTAGCCTTGTGTGTTGACACATGCATCTCTTAAGGGTACAATTTGGGTCTGCATCACACTACCCAATGTTTACGAAAATGGATAAACCATTCTTGTTGCCAATGCAACTGTCAAAAAATTGTGAGAAGGCGAGATTTCCAACCATGGCCAAGAGTACCAGAGGGTAAGATAATGAGCTTTAATCCTTTACAGTAGCTGCAAAGAGCCACTATGCTGTACAGGATACACTTAAAAAATCCGAATATCAGTTATGTGAAGAAAAAAAATTGTTGCCTACACATTCAGATCTTTAAATTTAGGCAAGTGTTATGGGACATATTTGTCTAGTGGTTATTATAATGTTCCACAACATGAAAACACAAGGTAAGATAAACGGGGAATGGTAATATTCATAATACACTAGGAACTTCTAAAATATATTAAGTATTAAACCTATTTACACTATACTGTATACACAGAAAGGTGAAAATGAAAGTACATCAATTACAACTGAGACCAGGGACCAAAAGACAAGAACCTATAATCTTATACTGTACATGGAATAAGTGTTACCTATCACAATATAAATTACAATTATAATCCTAATCATATGCACAAAGTAAACTTAGCTGTGAGGTGACCACTCAGTAGCACAAACACAAAACCCTCAAAGACACACGATACACAGGGCAGAGCAGAGCAGAACAACAGCACGTCAAGAAGCCAGGGGAGTGAGTGAGTCAGTTACTAGTACTGTAGATCTACCAACTAACCTCACAGAGTTGCCAGGTTGTTTATTACTCACTACAAGGATGAAAACATGGACACAAATAATACATAATTTACAATACAGTACTGTACAACAATATACTATATAACCTACAACAATACACATATCACAAAAAAACATAACATATGTAAGATGAAAAAGAATAAACAGAATGAACAGCTCGTTCCTTGAACGAGCTGACTACCTAGTTCCCATCATACAAGTCAAAGAAAAATATAGCGTTACTTTCTCCATGCCTTTTGCTCTAAGACCTACAAAGAAATATGGTAAAGATCTCCTGTCAATGAAGGTTAGAGTCTGAACCACCAAATTTAGTCTCTGTTTACCAACAGATGGTGAAAATTGAAATTACTGTACTGCATGTCTGACCTCGAGTGGCTACAGGAAGTAATTGCCCTTAACGGTGGCTGGAGAAGATATTAATTTAATGGAATTAAAAACAAACAATATACCCCTGAATTTTTTTTATTCCTTTATAGTGTATTCCCTAACCACATTTATCTTATTCTAGATCATCATCCTGCAACATCCAGGATACAAACTTGATATAGACATGATTTCTGTATAGTACAAAATTATTTTACTTATGTATCATGCGGTCACTACATCATTTAATTTGCATACAGTAAGTCCTCACTTAACGTCGCAGTTACGTTATTGAAAAGCACAATGTTAATGGAAACAACGTTAACGGAATCAATTTTCCCCATAAGAAATAAATAAAATACGCGAGTTATGTTCCCCATCCTCCCTTTGCCCCATAAAATACATTACATATACATAAATTCAATGGAATTTTTTTAGAAAATAGTTTATATTATACATCTAAAAAGATAAACAAACTAAATCATTTTGTATTGTACTCACACTGATGGGCAGAGGTGAAGCGAGTGTGTGTGGTGGGTAGTGGTGAATCAGACCTGGAGGATTTAAAACCTCCATTTTTGTAGCAAGGCTAATGGTCTTGCGTTGCTTCTTCACAACACTAGCATCACTAGCACTTGATGGGCGCTTGGAAGCCATTTCGAATGGTTACAGTACAATATTTAGAGCAAAAACACTTATAACACGCACATACGCTGTGGAAGCCTAACAAAGACTGAGGATGCTTGGGGACGCTGTAACGCTCCGTGAAAGAGCGTAGCACGCCAAGATGAGAGAGGGTGATGCGCCATACAAAGTACAGTAGTCCGATAATGCAAATCTTTTGGTTAAGCAAAATATGAAATGCAGTACTGTACTACGTGTCTTTACAGATAAGGACTGAACGACAGTTACTTCAATTACATTAAAAAATATAATGAGGATACTAGCCTACAATAGTACAACAAACACAGCTGCTCAACAGCGTACTGTACTGTACTATCGAGGACAAAAGTTCGCTCCTTTCCAAACTGAAGCAGTATCAACCCGCACAACACACCCGCACCAGATAACAATCAGGTTAAGTCAGTTCGGAGACTCATTCCCGTGTCTCAGTTTCACTACAGGGAGCGAACTTTTGTCCACGATATTACTGTACAGTACGGTACATGTACCAAGAATAGATATGAATTTTCTTATCCCTGGCATTTTTCCAAGTCTAAAATACGCATCTCACACTGAGCAACTTAACTGCAGTTGGAAACGGCTATATTTATTTATTTATGCAAACACCACTACAGTACAGTATACACGTACAATATACTGTACCATAAACATTCAATATACAGGGTGATTCAGCAAAGAGTACATTAAATTGGAGGATGAAATTCTTGGATAATTCTAAACCACAATGTCTCTATGGTAAAATGTCAGATTCTGCATATGCCCACATATTCGTGACAGGTGCGAGCAAATTAAACATACCTGTAGTCCAGACATTCTGGAATGCGTCAGACAACCAATGGTACGACGTGTACAGGTCTGCATTGAGGCAGAAGGGGGCAACTTTGAACATTTCCTTTAGGTTGTAACAAAGAGAGGTCACACTGTAGAGATTCTTGAATAAATGATTACAAACCCACAGTTGTTTCACTTCAAATTCACTCTCATTAATACATCATCTTAAATGTATTGTAACATGGAAACTGCAGAATCTGACATTTTACCATAGGAACATTGTGGTTTAGAATTATCCAAGGATTTCATCCTCCAATTTAATATACTCTTTGCTGAATCACTCTGTATACTACTGTAAACATTACACTGTACTCACCAATGGATGCTGTCATCTTGAGCTTGTGATGCAGGCAGACCAAAGGGTGATATGATGATACAGAATGGCCTGTTTTAGTTGAACAAATTTATTGACAAAGCTTGAAGTACAGTTTGCCTATTCTGAGTAATTCAGTCAGGTCTTGACACTGAGGGTGGTATCACTTCTCACTGCCATGCAGGACAGAGGTTCATACACAAAGAAATACATCATATTCATTAACAGTGTATATAGGTCAGATTCATGTGGGTGATGTCACTGTTCACTGCCATGCAGGACAGAGGTTCGTACACAAAGAAATCCATCATATCATATTCATTTGCAGTATATATAGGTCAGAGTCATGTGGGTGATGTCACTGTTCACTGCCATGCAAGATAGTGGTTCATATACATTGGACGTTATATTGTAATTGAAGATTAACTTGGGATAAACAGCAAGAATGTCCTCAAGCACCCCCGATTCAATGTAGTAATTACAAAGTTCATGATACAATAAGCCAGGTGGCCTGAAGTCTTTGACAGTGTCACATTCAATAATATAGTGTTCAAGTGTATGCTTTAAAGGTTTATCACAAAGTTTACAGGCCGAGTGTTCTGATATGGGTACAGCGTTACTAACTTGCCAGATGTGTCTGTATCCTAGCCTAATTCTGGCCATGACTACATCACATTGTCTGGTTCTGTCCTTATGCTGGCCATACCGGTACCTCTCGTCACAAAATTTGTCATATTTACTAATGCTACAACTGCCAGGTCTCTCTGCATTGCTCAGTTCTTCTAGATCAGAGTTCATGATTCTAACTTGAATGTTTTTAAGTACAGCATTGGACAGGCCAAGGTCACGGTCAACATTTTCTTTCTTACATGCTTCATTGGCCAGTCTATCAGCACCTAATTCCAACATGGGATGGAATCCACACAAATTCGATACGAGAGTTGTTCTCATTGGCAGTTATCACATTTCTTTTAATATCACAGAATATACCCCACCACCATTTTCTTTAAGTAGATTCCAGTTAGTTGAGTTTGTGTTGTGCTGGCCCAGTTGTTCAGCCTTTGCCTGTCTTTGTCTTGTAGCAGGTGTTGCGGTCACTCTCGTCTCCCACCACGAAGGAGGGACTGTGCATGTTCTGTATACCCTGTACTGTACATACACCCTCTACACACTAGCCTACAGTACATATACACTGTCCACTCTGCTTACATACAGTACTGTACTGTACATATGGTACTTTCACACTGAATGTACAGTACAGTGCAGTATACATCACTGTATGCACTCTCTACTTAACAGTATTCTTGGCTGATTATATGCTGATACAGTACAGTACTGCACAACTTATACTGCATGTGAAAACATCAGTGAGCTAGTGAACAAGCTTGTACAATGAACTAAGTGCCATGATGCAAGAGTCTGAGGAGATAGGCTACATGAGAGTAGTGGCTAATCGTTGCTCACGAGCACTCAAACCCTACCCACCCATGCACCTGGCCCGCAGGGCCACAATGAAAGCATGATGCAATCTCTCGGGTTTTTTGAAAGTGGGCATAATGCAAATCCCAGGAATTTGTTTGGATATATTTGGATATAGGGAATGGAGAGGTTTTTCCGAGAATTTCTTGGAATGAAAACATTTCCAACACTTGGAAAGTTCCAAGAATGAAAAATTCCTGCTTAAATACTTCCGCCATTACGAGATATTTGCAGCATACTGTACTGTATTGTAACATGATCTATGGCTTGAATGTTATATGTAGTACTGTACCCCATTCTATTTCTATATAAATAAATATCTAATTTTGGAGGTTGATTCCTATGTAGAAGTGAGGGGGACATGTGATGTTTAGGAAAATATTTATTTACAAAGCAGAGCTTCAGTTGAGGCAAGAGACCCAGAGACGTTCCTGTTGTTAATTTTTAATAACCAAAGTGTTCTTGTTTAACTATTCAATTAGATGCATTTCAGTTGATACTACAAAATTTCATATTGTCATACTGTAGATCAATGAAGTAAGAGATGACATAGTGTAGTTACCTGATAATGTACGAGATAAAAGTATATTTTTGTAATTTACTGAAACTATCAAGCACAGTCAGTTCTCCTAAAATGTGGTAGTTGTGTTCCTGAAAAACACCACATTATAGAGAAATTAAGGGGTTAGTAGGCTGGAGAACACCCAACATTACACATGGAACCCACTTCACTTTCACATTATTGTTAGTTTGTGTTATATTAACTGTTTGTACAAAGAACTAGATCCAGGCAAGGTTAATGTCAGGTCAGATTAGCTATGTTTGCATATGTTAACATAAGTGTCAATTAATTAATTTTCTTTGTATATAAGCACTTAGGTCCATATTTATTATTTTTAGTATAATTGGGTTAGGCTACATCAGATTAGGTTTTCTTTGCTTATGAAGAGTTAGGTCAGGTTAACTCAGGTTAGGTAATGTTTGTATACATGAAGATAAGTTAAACTTTATCAATAAATTAATTTTTTTATGCTTATGAAGACTTATGTCCAATACAGTATATTTTGATTGGGTTAGGTCTGGTCAGGTTAAGTTTTATTTGGTTAATTCAGGTTAGGTTAGGCTATGTTCAGATATATTCAATGAAGTGAAACTGAAATGCCAATAGATTCAATTTGCTTTGTTTATGTGCAGTTAGGAGTTCCAAATTGATTAATTTTAATATACATTATTTGGATTGGGTCAGGTCAGATTAGGTTATATACAATTTGTTGTGTAAAATCTACCCCTTGATCCATGGGCTGAATTAAAAATGTACAGTAGTGTTCTTGAGTAAAAATTCCACTTTCACATGCTCAAACAGTTCATTGAAAAGCATGGTGCATTATTAACAAGCAGCAATATCTGAGGGTGATTTGCTGGGGAACAGTAACATGCCAAAGTGAGAGAGAAATTATAACCCATACCTTATTTGTTTACCAAATAACAGGGCGCTTGCTTTTGGTATACTATAACTCTTCAAAGCACAAAGTACTGTACCAGCATGGGGTTCAGCTTCAGGTCACCAGCTACATTACCACCCAAGAGCAGTGTCAGATGATCCTTGTTAGCTTTTAAACTGGGGACACTTTTCCCTCTACAGTAATGAAACAAGACAGTTTCATCCACATTAAAATCTAACAAAAACATTTTACAGCATTAACATAAACAGTTGTAACCTTACCAACAACTTTGATGTTATTCATATTGTTCCATTTCTTAAATCTCATAAAACACACAGGTCTAACAATGAAATGTTCACTCACACTTTTCCTTTGAGGTTTATCAACAAATTTGGGTGTCTGTGATCATAGAGGACTCGCAGGTATATTGCACCGATTGTTTCTCAGTCAAAGAACCTAACAGTCTTTCCATATTTTCCAGCACATTACTGCAACTCTTAAGACAACCACATGGCACTCAAGAGGCATCAATGATTCTGTTCTAGCTTTAATTTTCTCAGCTCAGTTACCAATTGTTCACACTGTTGACAACACTAACCCCACAGCTCTGCAGATATAGTACTTCTTTTACCAGAGTCCAGTCACTGTAATATATCCAATTTCATTTCCATGGTGATGATCTTCCTCTTCATCCTTGATAACGTGAGCTGGTCAACTCAGAATTTTGCTTGTTAAATAGATTACAAGTTTGTGCATTGAATTTTCATACCCTTCTGTGCTTCAAACCAAATTCTCATTCACCATTTATATTTGTTCAGCAGGACCTTCCTGTATCACAAATTGTTGGTTAGTACCAGCCATGAATAAAGAGTTTAATTTTGGTCTAGACTGACAACCTGTAACCTTTGTGGGTAATGAGTTGCTTTGAGGGCATTAGCCATGGCATGGCATACCAGTACAGGATTCCATGAAGAAAACATTCGATTTTACTCGACACATTTTATTACACAAAATGAGTTCTTAAAAGCACACTTTTTAAGCGTATGTGCAGTAAGTGCTTAAAAACTCTTTTTAAGATACCTAAACATTTTATATCTTGTATTTTCTAAATTTGGAGTTTGAGTGCACTTCTTATTGCTTTCTAACTAACTGACATGAACTAAATTTATGCAATAGGACATAAGGTCCTTTAACATCAATTACATTCATGATAGAAGAAAATACACAGCACTGCAATACTCCACTAATTAATAAGAAGCTTACAATATTTCCAAGTACCAAATGCAGTTCTTCCTAAAACCAGAAACACAATTCCAACAGTTTTTTAAATATTTGTATTCAATTAACAGTTTGAATACTATCCTGTTGCCAATTAATGTAATTTATTGAAACAACTCTCAAGGAAATACTTAAAAAAACAGACTTGTGTGATATGATGGTTTATGAAAATTTAGTTTGTCAGTACAGTAATTATATAAATCAACAATGATGATTCTTTGTCAGCAAAACTGATTTACCACATCCTATCTTCACTGCCTGGTGGGGTTGGAAATGAAAGAAAAGCCACAGCATTGCATGTTAAATAAAAGTTCACATTTACATGAACCTAAGAGCAAACCAAAGTCAAGAATTTTGTATATATATATATATATATATATATATATATATATATACTGTATATATATTTGTACCGTCTTCTTCATTTGTATCAGCAGTCCTTACCATACATTACAAGTACAATAATTATGTAAAAATTTTGGCAACACATGATAGCCATCTTAATATGCCAAATTAAAAGTGTATATAACATTAATTTTCTAGCAATAGTCATTACTTAGCATAAGAAAAATTAAAATGCTTGTAGTACATGAACACTATATGTGTACATTGATACATAATACTGCCACATACACCTTGGTCATTTTATCCTGTTAAGAGTCAATTTACAAGTGTGGAACTAATACACCTGACTTCCTGGTAAGAAGAACAAAACTTATCTGTCCTAAAAATACAGTACTGTATACACCATTCATAAATGGCTGTTGTTCCCCCCACTTACCAGAAAATACTCTGACAAAAGAAAGTATAATCATTTGGCAGCAGGCTTTACTGCAGGTCATCATAATAATGCAAGAGGTCCATATAAGGATATTTTCTACTTGTAACTAGATCTTATGAGCATTCTCTCATCTGAATCTGAATCCTCTTCCAATATCTGAAATTCAAATAGTCCTACAGCCCACAAATTACTTAAGACTAGTACAACTAGCAATTTAAATAATTTCACAGACTAATAATCAATTTCATTATGTACCTCCTCCTCTTCCTCTTCATATTTAGTACCATTCTTAGCCCGTTCTTCTTCGTCTTTCATGGGGAAATTGTAATATGAGCTGCCATAATCAGGATAATCTGGAAATAATAATTATTTTTGTAGCATCCCTACTTGTACCACTTCCTATTGTTTTGTTCCTCATACTTTTGCCTTATGACTTACTGAAACATTTCTTCCATTCTGTAACAGCTCTATATAAGCAACCCAGCAACCCAAGCACATGCAGTGAATGGCATAAAAACATTCTTATTCTTTCTTTAAACATTCTTATCTACAAGAACTAGCATGAACTTCAATACTCACCATCCTCAGGTTCCTGCTTAATCTTGACACCATCTTCTCCCTCCTCTCCTGGACCACGCTCACGCCTATCACGATCCCTGATGAAAAAAAAATATGCCTGAACCCTAAAAAAAATTTCTAAGGGAATTATTCAATATGGGATGAAAAATCCAACTGAAAACAAAGTTCCAGGAATAGAGGTCTAGTTTACCTCTCTCTGCGGTGCTTCCTCTCACGCGACTTTGAACGGCGTTTACGGTCACGAGAGCGGGACCTATGACGCCGCTTTTCTCTATCTTCACCTTCCTCTGGTACCGTTCCTCCACGCTCACGAGACCGGGAGCGGCGGCGTTTACGATCTCGGCTAGAAGAAAAGTTACAAGTCATTAGTTTAGGATAAGAACAACCTTCAATGTTATGCACACAGTGAGTTAAATTCACTATAAAAAATACTTAACAGAATATTATTGGTTATTACAGTTACGTTCCAAATAACACAATAAGGCTGTTAAACTACTGCACAACTACATTACTCTCCTTAAAAGGAAACATTGGATGAAATTTAATTAATTTTTTCCAAATACTGAATTAGATTTATGCATTAAGCAGAGGTTCATGCTTCTTCAAGTGATGTAATGTGGCCTTAACAGTAGTTCCTCCCTAAACCACAGGGTTAAGTTCCAACACTCTATGGACTGTAAATTAACCGCATCTATGATAAAAATGTATTTTCATTCCAAGGCCAAAAATATTACCCAAAAATTCACTTAAAGCACCCAAATAATTGGCATTTTTCTAATCAAATGTAAACCTTACTACAAATGATGATAATAATAAACATAAATACGTGACAAAATAAACTACGCATTAACAAAAAGTCATCAAGAGAAGGCAAAGTCAGACTGGGCCGGGCAGGAAGAGAGGACAAGAGTACAAATGCCAGTTTTCATAAAATTATCCTTCATAATGACTTATCAGGACTGTCTAGAATCATTTATTCATAAAGTGGGACATTAATAAATCTAAAATTAATTGTTGGAGTGGAGCATCCCACAGCAGTCCACCACCTCACACCATCCAGGCAGCACTGAGGAACCCTGCACTGCCCACAAAACCCTTATAATGTCTATCATCACACCAATTATATCCAAATTATCACAAATCATGTAAATATATGTATCACCAAAGACAAATAAGATACAACTAAAACTAATAATTAAAAAACAAAAAAAAATGACACACATAAAGGTGAAAAAAAGTAGATATTAAAACATGCACAGCCAGATAGCACTGTGACAAGTGAAAAAGACCCCCCCCCATTCTTTCTTTGGTAACATGCTGGTCATGTGTGTTCCATGCAATAAGAAATAATCCTATCCATTGGAAGCACACAGTATTACATACAAGGTGTTGTGGGCTCAAAATGGAAAGTACTTATTTTTTTTATTACCCCAGACACAATTCAAATCAAGTTAAGGAAAAACTGCTTGGGACATTATAGTGTTCACACCTTAGGAACCTCCTTTCCCTACCCATCACTATAAATTCCCTTCATAGTGACAGAAAAATGATCCACTGCTACAAATATTAAACCCAGGTATTTGCATATCAAGTCACTCTGCTTGTGGCAGCTTTCTCAAGATGTACAAGAAACACCTAACAAACATACCTCCGGGACCTTCTGCGCCTCTCTCTTGGTTCACGTTCTCTTTCTCGACTGCGAGTGTGTCTTCTTTCACGCTCACGTTCACGATCACCACGATCAACTCTTTCCCGATCATTACTCCTGAAACGCAAGAACTTTAAGAACAAGAACTCCTCTCCTTGAAATTAATCTTTCCTTTCCAAACAACATCAGTTAGTTTCATTCATTAGTTTTCTCTGAATGCTGCATTTTAATCTAAAATTCAAAAAGGAATAGTAGGAAAAACTTTTGGTACAGTACTTACGCCATACGTTCCTCGTCTCGCCCACTGCCACGCCTACGGTCATCTTCACGACCAGAATGCTTGATGTTTACATCAGGTCCACCTCGACGAGTGCCTCCCAAACCCCCACCTGTATCAATCAATATGTTATATGTTCATTCATTGACTGTACTTGATATATTTTCTATTATTTAGTGATAATAAAGGAAAATTAACTCACTTTAAATTACTGTTCACACATTACATAAATGTTAAGAATTTTTTTACAGTAACTTAGTGATTACCCTGTACAGTATTCTATTTACTACTGTACCACAATAACTACTACTACAGTATGGCATATTGATACCAGAGCCCAAACAACAAAAATCCAAACAAACAATTAAGTAATCTTATGGAAGTTTAATTTTATACCCTCCTCTAGAACCTTTCAACTCCATCTTAAAGCTCTTCCCACTAGCTGCCAATATTGGTTCTTTAGGTTCACATTACCTTCATATTGCACAAAGCTTAATTGAGTCTAAGGTTGTTTTCTTGAACTAAGCTTGGGATGCATTCATAAATACTGTACTGTAGAATCACAATGCATTATTTTGCACTGCCCAGTAAAGTTTCAGCAACTGAATTTTATGTGGTTTTCTTATCTGCTTACATAAATTTATTTATTTCTATTGATTTATATGACTTCTCAATAAATTATAAATTATTTATGTAAACACTTGATCCAAAAATAACATGATAATGGCCACACCTCCAGCCTCTACAGGTGTCACCACGCACACTACCTCAACATCACCAAAACAATACTGTGGTCTTTGTAAGTTGGATACAGAAAATGTCGCAATGCAACGAATAAAAGTTATGACCCCTAAGCTACGTAGTGTGGCATGCTAGTGTGTCTGTGTCAAGGAGACAGTGAACAAGAGAAAGATAAATATGGGATAAAGCAGGGATGCCACCTCAGTCCCTCACCCCCCCCCTCCAATCCCCATGGGCCAGTTGCCACTAGTCCCATTTTCACTTCTTACGCTATAAGTTGTCACAAATGAGTGCGGGAAATTTGTAAATACAGTGACACCTCGGTTAACGTAATTTCGATTAACAAACTGCCTTCCATTAGGATCTTCAATTCGGTTAACGAAGTTCTTACGAACCGACCTCAACATGTTTTCGCGTGCACTGACCGGGCAACCAGCTTTAGTATCAGTCCGCCAATACATTAATCGGTTCTAGGGCTTAAATTCCTTACTATTTTAGTAAATATCAAGAAGTTTATACTATTCAATAATTTTAAAAGTTTAATATTCAATTTTTTTAGTCATTTTAACAATTATTGAACATAACTGAAGGTAAAGTGACTAGTTTAATGCGCGGCATCCAGCCTCTTAACACAGCAAACAGGAGTTAGTCTCTCTCTGTTTTCACTGGAGGTAACATCTTGCTTGAGACTCTCTTCAACTAAATGCTTTTTTCTGTGTTTCCAAGCAAATTATTGGTCATTTTGAAATATATTTTACATATTGACAATATATAATGCAGTGCAGTGTTGATTTAAAGAAAATAATCTTGAATTACACCAAGAGAGCTAAAATTTTATGGGTGAAATGGCGCCATGGGGTGACTTCTCTTCCACCCCAATGCCTTCTCTTTTTCCTTCTCCTCCACCCCCATTCTAAATCCCATCATCATCATCATCATCCAGGAGCCTTCTACATACACACCTCAAAGTAAGTGAACTTTTCTACCATTTTTGTTGAGTTTAGGAAATTTTCGGTGAGCTGGAACCAATTACCCAAAAACCCATAGAAACAATGGTTTCGGTTAACGAACGACCTTCTGGAACGGATTGAGTTCGTTAACGGAGGGGTCACTGTACAGCGATTTTAAAATGACGATGACGCCATAATGATGATGCCGTCGTGCCATTTTAAAACACAGGTGATGCTTAATGGGCTAAGGTCAGAAATTTCTGAAAATACAGCAGAAGACATATGACAAATTACAAATTGTGGAGTTTTTTTCTGTAATTGCCAATTTTACGGGACCTAATACAGGTTATATTTCAGGTAAACACATTTTCACCTTCAAAACAGAATTCAAAATATTTCCTAGTTAACATTGCTCTTTGTTAAAGCTTTTGTCTCTATTTATCATTTGAATTCTAACACAATTCTTTTCAACTTTAAGACAATATTTATAGCCACTCGTTATTGAAACAATCATGTGGTGATTTAGCTTGAAATTCAAGCTTGTTAAAACTCTGGACAACACAGTGGTTCTCCCTGCACTGTACACTGATACATATACACACACACACTAATTTAATGTGTGTGTGTGTGTGTTTGTTTGTTTGTTTACCACTGTTAAATGGTCTTGCAAAAACTATTGAATATTCGTGATAAGAATTTGCAGGGAAAATCCTTTTGCTGAAAATGAGACACCATAGAAGATGTGGTTTTTAAGCACTTAAAGTGACAGTCAAATGCACAAGAACCAAAAATAAAGAAGTAAATTAGAAACCTGTTCTTCATAATTGTGTCAAATTATTGTCAAGGGCAGCTTCAGTACACCTTCTCTACATCAAGTATCAGAATGGTTACAAAAAGAAACATCATGTAAAACCATTTACCAGTTCTAATTTCAATAAAATGTTTGTGTGACTTCATAGAAATATTCTAAACACAGTACTGAACATACATATGAATATTTACAGTGAGTTCACCTTACAGTTATAGTCTACGCTGTTTCAAGGCGAGTTATAATTGGTAAAAAGTATTTTGAAATAATGGAATTAGTGTTGAAGAAAAGTGGTGTCTTCAGGAAATTTGGGGGTTGTGGTCCCACATCTTACATATTTCCCAACAAAATCCATAAAACAATATAAGACGATTCAGTGTTGCCTGACACTTCAGTCCTACACCCGTGTTATATCGAGGTTCAGCTATACGGGTACTGTACTGTACATGAAAAAATAAATATATAATAGTTCAAAAGCTTTGCTTAGAACCATGCAACAGACATTGCTATCATCATTTTGCTCAGCCTGTCAGTGCTGCCTCTATCAGTATTTAGCATATCTCACATATATGTGTTCACCTCACTGTCTTAATCTTTTGTCTTATTTTTTATCCATAATTTCAGGAAAAACACCAGGATGTACAGTATATAAAAATGCATCACAAAATGTGCAGATAACCTAACCAACTGAACCATCCTTAAGAAGACACACCAGATAAGAGCTTCTACCAAACCCACCACTTTATCAACAACTCATTCATGAAGCATTTTATTCATTTCCCACAGCTGCCATATAGGAGGAGTAGGACTGTTAGGGTTGATGGCAGACAATGGTCAATAATGTGCAAGCTTATTGTATTTTTCTATGTCCATTCTCAGATATAATTATTCTTTTTATTCTCAAATAACACATTTATAATGTCAACAGTATCATTGTTTAGGCTATCATTAATTTACCCAATAAAGTCCTCGTACTGTACTGTTTATTGCTCACTGGGAAGATAGAGCACTGTGGTAAATGCATCTTTATAGTAACCATTTTATGAGCTTTTATAGAGCATCTAGAGTTCCATAAATGCTCAGCCTGTATTCAAACAGCCCCAAAACTGGAGAAAATATCTTATTCACATATCTCCTACTGTTGCTTCTATTATTTGTACCGTATTTCCCAGCTCTTATGACGCACCCTATGATTAGCAAGGTATATTTTGGAAAAAGAATTTTTGCAGATTTAATAGCCTACTGCACAGGTATGTCCAAGTCGCTGACTGTACTCGTATGCTGTCGTATCTCTCACTACCTTACCCAACTATCTCTTTATGGACCTATTATCAACCATTTGTTGGTATTATTATTTAAATTTACCTAATTTAGTACAAAAGGATATAATTATATAAGTACCTACGGTATACACATTACAAATACTTACCGGTACTGGACATGTTCACACCCTACTACCTGTGCATCACATCGGCTGACGTTTCAGAGGTATTGCCTTGGCATCATCACTACCACAGTTAATTATCACTGTATTGACCTAATGTCAAACTTCTGTTTGTATTATTTATTACCATTACCTAAATTTAGTACAAAATGGTATAATTATATTCTTATACACATTACATATGTATGGAACTGTCCTGCAGATGACGTGGGTGAGGCACCGCCACCATAAACAAAACACACGGCTTCCCACCGGTTACCATCAATACAGCACACTAATAAACTGCGGCAATAAATCTGGTATTCATAATACTTGTACCAGGATATATTTATTACAATATAAATGGTAACTGTAGGCTTACTTACATGTCTAGATTCGTGAGGGCTGATAAACTACTCTCTACAATTTGACCTTACGGTGTTGACGCCGAGTGATTTTTGGGGGCATTTTTCGGAGGGGGGTGGGGATGCATTTATGAGGAGGAAAATATGGCAATTACCGAAAAAATGGATATTATGCACATCCACCCACTCATAAAAGTCAGAAGGGTGAAGAGAGATGAAAATGAGACTTGGTGATTATGTCTAACTCTCACAATGTTTTAATACAGCAACATATTCTCCCTAATACACAGGACTGCGTGGAAGAATTATTTGAATCATCAGTTACAAAATACCTGTTTTCACCATCAAGTTTATCAATGCATGATATGACCATAAATAAAACAAAACAAACTCACCTAGCCTTCGAGACAGCCAGCCTTTGACCGTACGAGCACGTTCCACATCGACCAAAACGCGACGATTGTCAATCTTCTTGCCATCCGCATGTTTGTATGCCGCTGTCAAGGAAACCCTACATTAAAATCAAAATACTTTTCAGGCAATTAATAGACCTGCATAAAGGGCAGATATTCTCAAACAGAAACAAAAGAGACCACCAGTCCTGTGACCTTCGTCGCCGTTCCCCTCGTAGACGTAGCCATCACATTCTGGCTGCCAGGTGTAAACCCTGTAGTCACACTTGATACACTTGCCGACAACCAAGTTATCCACAAATGAAAATATTAACCTTTGATATGTAAACGTGTAAAAAATGTGTCTGGGGTACGGGTTGGGTATGAGTGTTTGGTCGAGGAGAAAGGTAGGGATCAGTCTCATGGTTGGGTTGTGTGAAGAAGGTTTCTCTCCAAAAGGTACATGGATTTGAAACAATACGCAAGCTTTCCACAGGAACCCAAAGCTATATTTTCAAGTTGAATCTGTAGTCATGATTTTGAAAACTCTTGAAACTGACTTTGTGATTTAGTCAACATTAACTATAAAGAAACTGTATTACCTGGGCATACCTTTAGTGATACAGTAAGCTAGGGCGCCCGGTAGCAGAGGTGAAGGTTGGGGGGGTTTCCCGTGATTTCCATCGAAGGGCGTTGGAATACTTACCCAACTTACCCATTATCAATTCATAATCAAATAAAAATAATTACAAGTTTTGACACTAAGACATTCAACTTTACTTTACAACTTTATGACAAAACAATAAAATACTAAGAGAATAACTTTCCAATGCAACAATCAATCAATCACCTAAACTGTAGTTTCACTCTTTACTACCTACCGACCATACCTACCACTCACTTACCCAAACGCCTGTACTGTATGCTGACATGAACACCATCCCACCCCAATCACTTACCCAAATGCTTGTGTTGAGTATGAACACCAACCTACCCCACTCACTTACCTAAATGTTTGTGTAGAATATGAACACCTCTCCACCCCACTCACTTACTCAAATGTCTGTGTCGGGTATATGAACACCATCCCACCCCATTCACTTACCCAAATGCTTGTGTTGAGTATGAACACCAACCTACCCCACTCACTTACCTAAATGTTTGTGTTGCACCAACCCACCCAGCTCGCTCACTTACCCATATGACTGTGCGTACAGTGAATGTAAACAACCCTTCCTACCCTGTTTATACAAAACTCAATATGGAGAACATGTATATTTTCTTCTCTTTCCCAATTCTTCTAGGATTAGCCCAAATCTTTTCATGAGTTGAAATGCAAACTAAATTGAATAAATAAATTAGCAGCTAATTTTGATAAATGACTTTTCCCAATATTGATAATAAAAAACAAATAATAATAAATAAATAAAGCCTAACCCATTAGTCCCACCAAAATACTAAAAAAAATAAAAAAATAAAAATTAAAGGGACTAAAATTCAAATACCACTGCTATGCAATGGAATTCATCATGCATCATCTTCTAGGAGCATCACCCAGCACAAAATGAATCACAGTTTCATCAGATGTCATGAAATTTACACGAGCCATGACAACCCAAGACATTCTATGATTGCTCTTGTGTCAACCTATAACTTACCGACACACATGTGACACCAACATCACCTCCCTCACCTCAACCTTCCACTCACGGCAGAACTGGTTACAAATACTAGCCACTCACTACTGCATTTGATTATGTGTACTGAAGTGACTGACAAAGAGACACAGTATAAATGAGCATTTGTTTACTCAAATAAACAAAACTTTGTAAATTCTAATAATAATAATACGAATACTGTACATTCAAATGCCATGAATCTTTATAGTGGAAGAATGAAAAAAATAATAAATAAAACGCCAAAGTTTGAAAGCTATAAGAGAAAGTGCTCCAATCATGTCCTCCATCCTATCATTATTTACCTTGAATCTCTAACTATACTGTATATGTATGTAACTGTCCCAAGGGTCTTGTGAAACCCAACAATGAATCCTTCAACTGCAGCCCAAGAAGGAATATACATGTTCCTTCACTACATACAACCCAGGAGCACATAGCTAGTATCATGCTTGGAAGAGCAGCAAAGTACTGTACCTCTCTTCATCTACTTTATAGTTTGACATAAGAGAACCTACTCAGGCTTATTTGACCATTGACTCCTCCTTCAATGTAATCAGTTTCACAGGAAAAGGAAATCACCCGCAGATATATTATGCATTCCCAGCTATAGCTGATATAGAAGAATTGAAAAAAAATTATATAAAAGTTGACTTCTGAGAAATCACATTAGCAAGTCCCCGATCAATCAACAAGAAATTAGTATGCAAGTCAGTAAGATTTTCAACATGCCAGCAGGCCTAAAATGCCACTATATTTGTTTTGGAAATTTTTTGCCTGTGCAGAGGCTGGTCGAAGCCTTGGTGACAATAAGGGTCAATCTGCCTGCTCCTGTGTTGGGCTTACCACACATACAAACCTAGAGCCGTGAGCGCTCATAGGTCGCGTGAGCATACAAGCCAGCACGGAAGATCGGCTGTACAGGGTGAACGAAACAAAATGCATTAGTGTGGGGCCTCGAAACAGCAAAGACATCATAACAATATAAAAGAAAAAAGTTGTAGAGCTGGAAAAGTTGCCTTATAAAATAGTAATAAGATAAAAGAGTCCTCTCTCAGCTCGTTGACACCTGAATTTATGGTTACCTGTTGAACGTGAAGAACATCAGTAACTAGTACAGTACGGAAATTCAAGGAGTCTGCAGTGGACAATAACACTTATATAGCTCAAGTGACACAAAGTATTCTGGAAATTTTGAAAAATCACTTGATATTCAATTCATACTGAGTTTTATGAAAAGTTTTGTACAATTATTAATGTGAACAACAACAACAGGCACTGATGAAACAGATACATCAAAATAAATAAATCAACCAGTCATTATATCAAGTTATTCAATACTTAAACCAAAATAAAAAAAATCAATAAAAAATCTTAAAACCAAGAATCAATTTACATCCCCTTAACCCTTCCCTCTAGCATTATGTGACAGATGCATTCACACTCTCAATGATAACCTTAAGTCAGAGTAATTACCTAATAAATACTAATAAAAAAAAAATTTTAACTGATGCACCAAAGGACATAATGACATGGGTGCTCCTTCGTTCACACAACCCTATACTATGCAGATCTTGTTGCCAAGGCCACACCCTACATCGACGTTCCAGTTGACTATCTGCATAGTACAGGTTACCCGAATGAAGTTTTAAATAGATAGAAAACATACATGTCAAAATTTTTAGAGAAAAGACCTGTAAGTTTTTAGAAAATAAAATAGTTAATTCAACAAATGTAAAGCCATATGACTTTCACTTTAACTCTGCTATCATAAGTCTCACATTACTACAGTATTTGAATCAAGTAATTGTTTATCCTGAATTCTACAAAACTTATCAGATGAAGCCAATGATTTTATTTTGACTATGAAAACTTTAACTGCATATAAAAGAGAATACAGAGCTAAGCTTACATAAGGAAAAAGTCACCATGAACCACTGCGCTTGTTTGGTAATAAAATGAAACGGTGTACAAGAATATGACATACAGTACTGTACATACATAATAAACATTACTTTCAAACCCATTAATATCCTTCCCTATAATTAAAACTGGCTTTATTCAGTGTAAACGAAGTACAACACTAATATGCCAAGAGAAAGTTATGATGTATAATAAAGAGATAAGAGCAATACTGTATTCTAATTCAATCAAGTGATGAGCATTTTATGTCTACATCTACAGTCACAGGAAAATCTTTAATTCCAGGGCCACATGCAAAGTTTTCTTTAAATCTAATGGTAACTAAGGATGCATTCATTCATACTTTCATTTCTCCCTTTGAATCAAATCTACAGTAGGGCTCCTCAAATTCACATGTAGCCGTAAGTACAGTATGTTGTCTAGTGTAGATACTTCACTTACGGTGTCTTTTCTCGAACCTGTGAAGCTGTCATATTCTAACTGACATATCCACACTGTTCTGTTTACTGACTGTGTATTCTTAAGATTTGTCCCTGTTTTCACACCCAACTACACATAAACCTCTTAAGTTAGAGTAGAGCCTCTCTAGTTTGCTAATACTGTACTGTACTCTAGTTAAGTTTGTATCAGCTTCACACGTTCCTCTCCTATTATAAAAAAAAGTAATTTACTACTTAACACATTAATAAAATCCTATCTAGAGGAAAAATGTAGCTAAAACCAGTAAGGAGAAGCTAAATGAAAACTTAAGACAACCTCCATTAGCTTAGACCCTAACTGAGTGGCGCTCAAGCCTTGCCATAGCAACGCAGCCCAGCTGGGACGCTGCCTCTGCTGACCCTTAGCAATGGGGCTCCGACAATCTGCTTCCCACTCTCGCACACAAAGAAATGTTTATTCCTTTTATGTTTTTGACCTTAGGAGTTACTTCTATTATGTTATGTATAAAGGATTGTGTGCACACATAACAGTATTAAACAAATAAAAAAAATAAAAATAAAAACCCCAAAACTACGAGTTGAAAAATAACCACAACACAGCTCACACCTCAGCCCGGTGGGAGAAGATTAGGGGGATGTGGCCACTCCAGCTGACTCCCAAAATTCACATAAGTGGGGGAAACCTTCATTAAATGAAGAAGTATTAATTTAGGAAATTCATGTAAGCGAATTTTTGCATCCCGAATGTTCGTATAGTGAGGGATATCTGTACAAGAACTCTGTGCTGAGTACAATGTTCTCATTTTTCATTCCTTCGTGGAGCGGAGGAAAAACAAGCAAACAACTATTAGCATCATATACGGCTGAAAGATTTTCAAGGTAATGTAATGCCTACAGGTAACTCTTGCAGGACCAAGATATATGCTATCATCTAATATGAACCACAGTACAGTACTTAAAAATGTTAACTGTAAAACTTTGTACAGAAACACTAAAATAACAATTCACTCATGAAACACTGGAAGATTTAAAAAATGGATTTATCAAATTTTTAGATAACTGTTGG